TCCATCGCCACTGGGGGATCATCAAGCCACACGGAAATCCTTGGGCTTTTGCTTCAAAGTTGGTGATCGGTGATGATCACGCCTGTTCGCCACCTGATGCCCATCATCTGGGGGCATCATATCAGCCGTCGGCAGATTACTTCTCCCTCCACGAGAGTGTTAGCGTCGGCGTCGGCGTTGCCGCTGTCTTGGGCGTGCTTGAGCATCCAGCATTGCCACGACATCGGGGTTATCGTGGTGGGCCTCACAGTATCGCTCGAGTAGAACTGGTACGTCTGCAGAAAGTGACGAGTAGCTCTCCCACGTATTTTCATGCTCGTCGAGGCCGAGCCATTTGACCTCGACCTCCCATTGCCGAGTACTGGAATTGGGTCGTACACCCCGGAACGCTTCGACACAGTGCCCTCCCTGAGAATGCAGCGCGCACTGCAGCAGATCTTCCGTGACCTCTCGGTCCGCCTCCGCGTAGAGGCGAATTCGGGAGACATGGTGTGTTGTGATGCGTTGGGGTGGATTAAGGTCCTCGACCTCGAAGATCCACGCCGTGACAGCTCGAACAATCCGCTTAGGTCCTTGCCATTTGATCGCTAACTTGTTGGCCATAGGAAGCACCCCTGCCACCAAAACAAAGTCGCCAACAGCGAAATTGGGCGGTTTGGACCGGGCAGCTCGGCGTGCTTGCGCCTGAATACGCCGTTGATCACTGGTGTTCGCCACCTCACGGTGCATATCATCCAGAGCACGTGCCATGTCGGTCAGGTGTTGCTGCTGCTTGGCCCAGAGAGTCTCAGCGTCCATCGAAACGACTATATTTTCAGAAAAAATTGTCGTGATCGGGGTCACTGCAGACAGACCTGTGCACGCAGTGAGCGGGGCAATATTACCGAGTCGATCGGAAACTTGCTGATTCAGGGCGCCTTGAACTAGCCCGAGCACGCCTGACCACTTGGACGGTGCCAGCCTGCGCTCACTAAGAATTGCCCGCATGCATTTCAGGAGAAGTTGGTTCACGACTTCGATTGTCCCGTTCGCCCAGGGGCAATATACTGTTGTGAAGTGATGATTAGCTCCCACCGCAGCTGCGATCTGCTCGATCACCTGGTTCAGGAAATGAGTACCTTGGTCCGAAACCCACTGCTGCACCACACCATAGCGGTTGAACCACGCAAGTAGAGCCACAGCACACGCGCTAGCGTCCGCTGCTTCACTCGGATACAGCTCCACAAAACCGCTGAAGTCGTCTTTCATCGCCAACACGTATTTGTAGCCAGTGTCTTCGTCCACCGGCAGCGAGAGAAAATCAAAGTGTAGGACCTCGTTAGGCTTTGTTGCATGGATCGCTGGTCCAAACGGTCGAGGTTCACGTCCGTTCCGGGTGGCCACACAATGAATACAGTCTTGTACGAAGCGAGTGACATCGGCGCTCAGTGTACGCCACCAGCACCAGTTTGCGACCGCTTCCATAGTGGTCTTAGCGCCACGGTGGCCGCTACCACCAGCGTGGGCAACAACACAAATGCGATGGATGAGGTCCGTTGACACCT